CAAAAACCAGGTTATTAAGTGAAATTGGTGATACATAAGAGTCGAGGCCTATGCCCCATCTTTGGCACTGGATCCCCCCAGTCACTCACTGCGCATTGGGTGCCCCTAGCACATCTTGGGATCCACATGGCATGCCTGGCCCCCTTGTCCTACCACACCTTCCCCACCACTGCAGAAGCCCACGGAGGTGAGGAGTAGAGGCAGTGGTGGTTGGTTGGTGCCCATTGTCTGCTGCTTCCCAGTGCCCACTTGTCCTCTGCTCATTGCCTTCTTCTTCCCACCCTGGGCAGGGATCCTGCTTGTCCTCTGTCCACCCTGGCCCCGCAGTCTCACATGGACCCCTTGCCTCTCCCTACTTGCCCTCCTTCCCCCACTACTTCCCTGGCATCTTTGGTACCTTTTCTGGCCTCCCCATTTCTGCCTGTGACCTTACATCATTCTGCTGTTGTCTCACGCTCTCTATGGGTGGACCAAGACATTATGGATGGACAGCAGAAGGTGTCCCTCAGCTGGTTGGCCACCTTCCTTTCTGTGACCCATTTGTCAACAAGGAAGGCCTCTAGTATATCATTCAGGGTGACCTGTGGGTGCCTCAGACCTTTGGAGGCACCACCTGAGAATTTTTTCAAAGTTGTTTTAAATGCAAAATGTTGGATAATGGAATAGTTGATAAATGAGTATGCGTGTCTGTCATCGGTAAAGGGCCTTTACAGATTTTTTGCTCGTTTTCAAAAACTGGATTGTCTTATTATTGTATTATATTTGTTTCTTATATTTTCTGGATATGAATCCTTTGTCAGATGCATTGTGAATATTTTTCCCCAGTCTCTGGCTTGCCTTTTCATTTTCTTAACAACATTTTTGAGGAATAGAAGTTTTTAAAATCTTGATGAATTTCAGTTTATTATTTTTTTCCTCTTGTAGTTTACAGTTTTTGTGCCCATGAAATGTTTCCCTGTCCTAATGTTGTGAAGATTTTCTCCTGTTTTCTTCTGAATATTCTGTAGTTTTACCTGTGTGTTTTGGTCAATGAATCTATTCCATGTTAGTTTTAGTGTTTGGCATGAGGTACGGGCCAAAATTCATTTTTTCTGCATGAATGTATAGTTGTTCCTATACCATTTGTTGTAAAGGTTAACCTTTTCTCTTTGCATTACCTTGGCATCTTTGTTGAAAATCAGTTAATTATAAGGGTCTATTTCTGTACTTTCTATTCTGTTCCTTTGATCTATATGTCTATTTTTATTTTAAACCACACTACTTTTAATTACTGTAGCTTTATAGAAAGTTTTATAATCAAATCATAAAACTCTTTCAACTTTGTTCTTTTTCAAAATTATCTTGGCTAGTCTAGCTTCATATTTCTTCATAAATTTTACAATCAGCTTGTCAGTCTCTATGAGAAAGCCTGATGCAATTATGATTTGGATTGCTTTGAATCTGTAGATAAATTTAGAGAAAATTACTGTCTTTACAATATTGAACTTTCTAATCCAGGTGTCAGCAAACTTTTTTTCTGCAAAGGGTCAGATAGTAAATATTTTAGCCTTTGCACCATAATCCAAGAAAAACAAAATGTTAACTCAAGGAAAAGAATGACTGAACAATTTATACAGTTGATGTTACTTTATTACTTTTTTTCCCCTGAGATATGTTTACATAGTTGTTGACTGTGTATATTTGCCTTTTTCATGTTTAGGCACCTCTGTCTATTGTGGTGATTTCTTGATTCTTTTCCACTGAATTTCAAGCAGGTTTATTTTCCCCTTCTAGACAGATTAAGAGTTTGATGTTTCCTGTTCTATCCAATTTTCTTTGAGGAGTAGGGGAGGAAAACTCTTCCGAGATAAGTGCAATAAATACCTATTCTCTGCTCTTTGTTCGATTTTTGTTAAATGTCTATGTGAGGGTTCTCACCACTTGACTGGGGAGGACTATATCTCATTCCAAGGAGCCCTGGTGGTCCAGTGTTTAAGCACTTGGCTGCTAATGGAAAGGTCATTGATTCAAACCCCCCAGTCTTTCCATAGAGAAAATTAAAGCTGTCTGTTTCCATAAAGATTACAACCTTGGAAACCCTATAGGGCTGCTCCTTCTCGTAATTGGGTTTTTTTTTTTTTTTTTGTTTAATTTTATATTTTATTCTAGACTTCAGATCCTTCCCTCATTCAAATTCATTGTAGCTCTGTAATCTTCAATTCTGTCAGAGAAAATTGGCCCCTTGTTTACTTTGATCTATTTCTTCCCAGCTGCTATTTCTACTCCCTCATAGCCAAAAGAGGGAAAAGATTAGGATGTGTATGCAGTTTTCTTTTCTTTGGATGTGGAGTATTATTGAGGATTCTGCAGATTCTATTGACTTCCCCATGTAGTGGTGAGGAGCAGCTTTGTAATGAGTCTCTTTACTTCTCAATTTTCTATTTTCCCCTGACCAGTGTTTGAAGTTTTTTTTGGCTACTCTATGATCTGCAACACCCCCCACCTGTTTTTTTTTCTTTTTTCATTTTTGTTAGATTTTCTTAAAAATATGCTTCATTATGTTAGTAGCAGGGGAGGGAAATGTAATGTAATGTAATGATGAGCTCAATATTTCCATTAAAGTATGGATTGCTTTGTTTTTCCAGAGTGCTGTACTATATTCTGTCAAATTAAAGCCAATTATATGTACTGTAGTATAAGGTTTGGAACTCTTTTCAACTGACAGATTCATAGAAAATAGTTCCTTTGCTGCCTAACTGTTTTTGCTAATGATCCTATAGCTGTGACATTAAAAACTGATTTTCGTAATCCTAGTGACTATAGGAGAGGAGCTCTGGTGGTGTAATGCTTAAAGCATTTGATTGCTAACCAGGCGGCTAGTGGTTCAAACTCACCAGCCACTCCTTGGAAGGAAGATTGGGCAATCTCCTACCATAGAGATAACTGCCTCAGAAACCCAAGGAGGGGTCGCTATGAGTCGGAAACGAGTGAGTTTTGTTTGTTTTTTATGGGAGGTAGAAGGAGCTCTGGTGATGTAATGCTTAAGGATTTGACTGCTAGCCAGTAGGTTGGCGATTCAAACCCATCAGCCACTCCACGGAAGGAAGACTGAGCAATATACTTCCATAAAGATTTACCACCTCGGAAACCCAGTGGGGGCCACTTTGAGTTGGAATTGACTCGATAGCAGTGAGTTTGGTTTTTTGGTTTATGGGAGGTAGGCTGACTTTGTTCAGTGTCCCACAAAGGATTTAACCATGGAGACATGGCTATCTCTGCCAGACATAATTAAGGAAAATAATTTGAGTGATTAACCTCTTTCCCACTTTGAAAATGTTTTGCTCTGGACTATGCTGTAATGTAGGAGCTCTGGTAGCATAGTGCCTAAGGCACTTGACTGCTAACCAGAAGGCTGGCGGTTCAAACCCACCAGCCACTCCTCGGAAGGAAGGTTGGGCATTCCTACTTCCGTAGTGATACTGCCTAGGAAACCCAAGGAGGGGTCGCTATGAGTCGGGCCGACTCGATGGCAAATAACAACAATAACAACAACAACATGCTATAATGTTAATGGGTTTTACATAATAATTTCCTTACTCCATATCCCTCACTTTATTTTTACTATTTAAAAAAATATTTGTCTATTTAAAAAAAAAAAAAAACCTTTTTATTGTGATGTGAAAGTTTGCATAGCAAATTGGTTTTCCATTCAACAATTCGTACACATTTTATTTCATTACATTGATTACAATCCCCACAATGTAGTAAGTAGCACTATTCCTACTTCTTCTCTGTTTACCATTTCCTTTCGTCCTTCTTTCCTATTCCTTCCTGCCTTCTGCGCTTTATGATGTGGCAAATGCTACTCTTCTCATCTTAAATTGTTGATTGTTGTATCCCTCACTTTAGAAGAAGAGTATCTACAGCTACAAGGTGCACATATAGTATCCATGCTTCTTGCTTTATCAGTTTTGCTACCCAGCTAGTAAATTCAGACATCCAAAGAGGTTTAAGTTGACTAAATGGTTGTTAAAATTCCTGACAGAATCATAGAGAAAGTTTTTTAAATTGGAGGAAATTTATTTTTCTTTGTGTCTGATCCCTACGTGGTAGGGATGAGTATGAACAAGTGCTGTCTCTTAAACATGGGTCATAAAATAGGAAGCACTCTGAGGTTAATCTTTTTTTTCTGATTAATAAATGTATTAAATCAGAAATATATTAAATCAGAAAATATATTTTTTGATTAATAAAAATAAATGAGTCATTATAGAAAATTTGGTAAATATTGAATAGAGTATAAAAGAAAAAGTCAACCATAATCCCACCACTACTCTTTTCAAGATTTTAAAAAATATTTACTCCTACTTTTATTTTCTATATGTACTTATACAGTTTTGATATTTTACTTTATTTACACGATTTTATATCTTTTTATACCAAGGTTTCTCAACAGTGACATTATTGACATTGTTGTTGGGCTATCCTGTGCCTTGTAGAACTTATAGCAGCAAACCTGGCCTCTACCTACTAGATGCCAATAGCAACTCCCCTCCAGGTTGTGACTACCAAAAATATCTCCAGACATTGCCACATATCCCCTGGGAGGAAAATTAACCACAGTTGAAACCACTATTTTATGTTTACTGTTAAAATGTAAGCACTTTCTCATAACATTATAAGCTTCATAAGCATAAGTTTTAGTGACTATATAATTTACCACTGTATATAGCATCTTCACATTTAAGAGTGTGTCCGTTGCTGTTTTTTGTATCCATAGCTTTGTAAAATTATTCTGTCATTAGAGAGATATCACATCTTATGTTATATTGATATCTTATACTCTTTTGATAGGAGTATTTACTAGTGAAAATTAAGTGATTTTTGTTGTTTTCATTTTCTATTAAAGAAATTTACTCTTAAAGATATGCTTGTTTTTGTTATAGAACATAAGTGAATGCATTATAATTAAATGCAAACTTTGTGTATAATTTTATAAAGAATTTTATGTAATATTATAGATACCACTCTTTGGGATCATGTCATCAGATTCTGCAGATCCTTTCTACTGGATGAGAGTTATTCTTGCATCCAACAGAGGTGGGTATTCTTTCTTGGTTTTTGCCTCCACACTACTTCTGACATCAAATAGATCTAAAAGTGTGGATTAGTAGCTATTTTTTAGTTTCTACAGGGAGAGGAAGGATATGACAAAGAAACGCATTGCCTATGAAGGAAGACCAACATGTAGATAATTTACAAATCGGTGTATTTATTGTAAAAATAGAAATATGTACGGAATATAGAGATATTCCAGAGAATGGAATGATTACCACTGTTTACTGCTTTGGTTCTCAGCCTTTTTATGCATGGTGTTTCCTTGGAGAATCTGATTAAATTTACATGTATTTTCCCTGGAAAAATGCATGTATATACACACATACAACACAAATTTTACATAAAACTTACGGAAATTCATGGACCTTCAATAGTCTAAAGTCTATCTTTTTTTTTTACCCCATGAGACTAAGAAACCCTGATCTGCTGTGTTACGAGGAGATGATGCCTTAACAGCACTTTGAATTCAAGTTTAGTATGTGTAGTGATAGGAGAAAGGGCGTTTGATGCAGAGGAAAGCATGAGCTAAAGCAAAAGTGCTCAGTAATAGCATGATGTAGTCTGGTAGATTTTGGGTGAGGAGTGTTGATAAATGAGGCTAAAGAGGAAGGGAGTGGCTGGATTTTGAGGTTCTTTGCATGTAAAATACTTTAAAGAGTTGGCAGGCATTTTTTTGGTAAGTTTTTTAGATTACAAAAGTGTTACTGATTATTTAAAAAATGGAGCAATAGAGTCATTGCTATAGAGTCAGTTGCTATAGAGTCAGTTCCAACTCAGGGCAACCCTCATTGGGTTTCCAAGGTGGTAAATCTTTACAGAAGTAGATTGCCTCATCTTCCTTCCATGGAGTGGCTGGTGGGTTTGAACCGCCAGCCTTCTGGTTAGCAGTCAAATGCCTCAGGCACTGTGCCATCAGAGCTCCTTTATAAGATTTATATAAAGGTGAAAATGAAAGTTTCAGTTCTCAGGGGTTACTGCTGGAAAGTTAATAGATTTGTGAATGTTCATCCAGATTTTTATCTGTATACGTCTTTCAATGTATAAATTTATTTATTGGGTGAAAGCATACAGAGCAAATTAGTTTTCCATTCAACAATTCATATACATTTTGTTTCCTGTCATTAATTGCAATCCCGTCAGTGTAACATCACTCTTTCCACTTCCACCCTGTGTTTCTCATTTCCATTCCTCCTCCTTTCCTAATCTAATCCTTCTTTTTCTGAACTTTGTTTTTAGGTAAATGCTGCCCTTTTGATCTTCAGTTGTTGATTGTTCTAAGGAATGCATACCTCCCTAGTATATATACATTTATATAACTTTATTTAGTTGTTGTTTAATTTAAAAAGATACACAGGTAGTCCATTGGTTACAAATGTTTGACTTAATACAACCTATAGTTATGAACCAACCCCCATAAAGTCTATTATATTAAAAATTCAAGGTATATACAGTGTTTTCTAATAACACTCAGGTGCTAGTTTGTGATGCACATCAAAACATTATTATTGTCTTATTATATTAAAGTTCTTTTAGTGTAGTTAGAAGTATTTCTGTAAATTTTTTTTTATGCATAGAAAGATATATAATATATATACTAAAGACAAATGTTTGACTAATACTAGGTACCTACCTGACTTAACATATGTATTCAACTTAAAGACATATTTAGGAATGGAACTTGTTTGTAATCTGGGCAGTGTTCTGTTACTAGTTTTCTTAATATCTTGGATGATCTATTTCATTTAGTGGCCAAGTACTTTACTGTTATTTGGATATGCCATGAGTTATTTAATCATTCATTCAGCAAATATTTATTGAGTTCTTAACTATGTAACAGGCCTTATGCTAGACTCTGAAATTAGAGCACTGACAACATCCTCATTTTCATGGAGTTTGTAGTATTCTGTTTGGGAGCTACATGAACCATGTTGGGTGGGGAAGGACCCTCTACAGAAATGACACTGGAACAACCTCCTGACAACAAAGTCTTGGGAAATTAAGAGAAACACAAAAAGCATCTTCGGATCCCAGAATACCCAGTGGAGAGTTAGAAAACAGACTGAGCACCAATTGAAAGGAGAGGCAGAACTAGACCAGCAGCGAAACAGATTTACGGATTAATGGTAACCTTCCTGCTGGCATGGAACAGCATGGCCATTTTGGAATGGCATAGAACACCCACCCAAAGTGAAGAACTCAGGAAAGAAACTGCAAAGAAAGCCCAGCTGATGGCAGAGTTTAAGTACAGACAACTGTGGAAAAAAAAATAAAGTGAGCAGGATACGGTGGGGACAGAGCACAGGAATGGTGCAGATTTGTAACCAGAAAATCACAGGGAAGTATATCTAGAGCTAGTGAAACACACTGAATCATATGTGAGCTTAGTGAGGAGAAATTGTAGGCAGGGATTTTATAATCAGGGAGTAAAGGGCAGGAACAGGTAGGTGATTGAGAGCTCCAGCCCCTCTAGTGTGTGCAAGGGGGTGGGGGAGTCACGTGCTTGTCTGCCCCCCACCTGCCCTTCCTGACCCTGTGGGGAGCAGTCCATGCTCCTGCACACTTGCCTTCTGCCTTCCACCCCCATGACCCAATGAATAGCAACAACCATGAGCTTTCACATACTTGCTTGATTGCTACTCACCCCTCTTCCACCAATTCCCCAACCAAAATGGCAACCATGTACTGCTGTGTGGTCACTAGCCCACCTCCCACTCCCCCAACCTGATGAGCATTGATGACCATGCACTTTCATAAGCTTATCCTGCCTTTCACCTCATCTTCAGTTCTCCTGCCCTGCCTGGTGAATGGTGGCAATCACAAGCTTCTGTGTACTAGCACCCTTTTCTTCCATCCCCTCACTCAGTGAGTGGTGGCAGCTGTGCTCCTACAAGCCCATCAATCACCCACCTAACCAGAATAGGCAAAGAGCACATTCCTGTGTCCCACTAGCCTGCCATCAAGCTCTGCCTGCTGAACTGGCAAGCAATAGAGAGAGAGCTCCCATCATATGCACCTAGTGAGCAGAAGAGAGTGTGTGCCCATGTGCCTGTTGAACTGGCAAGCAGAGGGAAACCTGTTCCCACCTCCTCTGCTTGTCCACCACACCCAACTCAAATACTGCCCTGCCCATTTGGTGAATGACATTGCCTGCAACACTAGACTAATGACAGAGAATGCATAGTGCCAGCCCAGCCTGCCCTCGGTTGTCCTGCACAACCAGCAAACCTGTGCTAGCTGCTTCCCCACCCATCTAGAGACAGGTGATGAGTGTTCCAGTGCTGCTAGACACTAGTGACCATTGTAGCATGCCCACCTCACCTACTTAGATATGTAAAAACAAAAAAATTAGGACAAAGCAAGCAAACATAGACAGGTATGTGTTGTATAATGTCCATTTGGGCAACATCCAACTGCATATATGTCTGTGGGGTGGGGAGGAGGAGCTTGCTTGGAAAGGGCTCAACGTAGCATGGCCAGCATCAAGTTTGTAGTGTTGTCGTATCTGTGGCTTGGCCGTCATGGCTGCTGCAGTCTGGCTGAAGCCCACGAGCCATGGTGTGGTTTGCAGACCCTGAGGTGTGTCAGCTGCAACTGTGGCTCCTATGGTTGCCGCTGGTGTGTATCCTGCCCAGCCACCCTGCAGGCCAGTGCTTGTGGGGACCCATAGTCACCAGAAAAAAAAAAGGAAATAATAAAGATTGGTGCAGAAATAAATGAAACAAAACGGAAAGACAGTAGAAAGAATCTGTAAGACTACAAGTTGGTTGTTTGACCATAAATAAAACTAACAAACCACTGGCCAAATTGACAAAGGAAAAGAATGAGAAGATACAGATAACCAAAATAAGAACTGAGATGTGTGATATTACAACAGAACCAACTGAGATAAAAAGGATCATAAGAGAATATTATGAAAAATTATGCTGCAACAAATTTGAAAACCTAGAGGAAGTGGACAAATTCTTAGAAGCACACTTCTTACCTAAATGAACACAAATGGGTAGAAAATTTGAATAGACATAACAAAATAAGAAATTGAAGAGGTTGTAAAACAACTCCCCACACACACACACACACACACACAAAAATCCTAGCCCAGATTGCTTCACTGGAGAATTGTACCAAATGTTCAGAGAAGAATTGACACCAGTGCTACTCAGACTATTCCAGAACATAGAAAAGGAAATAATACTCTCTAATTCATTCTTTGAAGGCATCATACCCTTATACCAAAGCCAGACAGACACTACTAAGAAAAGAAAATTACAGACTAGTATTACTCATGAATACAGATGAAAAAGTTCTGAAGAAAATTCTAGCCAACAATTTAACATCATATGAATAAATGAATAATACATCATGACCAAGTGGGATTCATACCAGATATACAAGGGTGGTTCAACGTTAGAAAATCAATCAGTGTCATCTGATACTACATAAATAAAACAAAGGACAAGAATCACATGATAAGCCTAATCGATGCTGAAAAAGCATTTGAGGAAGTCCAACACCCATTCCTGATGAAAATTCTCAGCAAAATAGGAATAGAAGGAAAATCCCTCAGTATAATTAAGGACATATACAAAATCAACAGCCGACATTGTCCTCAATGGAGAAAGACTGAAAGCTTCTCCTTGAGAAGAGGAAGCCTCTGTCACCACTCTCATTCACTGTTGTCCCAGCAAGGGCAATAGGGCAAGGAAGGGAAATAAAGTTCATCTAAATTGATAAGAAAACTATCCCTATTCACAAATGTAATGATATTATATGTAGGAAATCCCAGAGATTCTACAAGAAACCTACTGGAACTAATAGAATTCAGCAAAATGGAAGGTTACAAGATAAACATAAAAATTAGTTGCATCCCTCTACACCAAATTTTGAAAAGGAAAATCTAGGAAACAATTCTGTCTTGTTATCGGTTGCTGCTGTAACAGAAATATGAGCAGTGGTGGCTGTAACAAACGGAAATTTATTTCCTT